CTACAGTTGATCTCCAGAGTGATGAACCCACAACCAGCTTTCACATCCTTTCACAGCTGTTTCATCAGCCAAAAGTCAGCATGAAGCCCTTTCTCTGTGGCTTCTGGATAGGGAGAGACGAGCATCATTTAATTTGGGGGTTTAAACAATAATGAGCCTGTCATCCCTGGCTGTGGGCAGGTGCTCAGGGAGCTAAGGTCTAATGTCTCACATCTGGGCAACATCTTTTTATCAAAAAGAAAATATTAGTGAGATTGGTTTGTAGAGGGAATCTTAGAAGGTCTTATTAATAAAATCAAACCCACTCGAAAAAAACAAAAAAAATAAAAATAAAAAATAAAATAAAATAAAATAAAACCCAGGCAGGTATTGGGGTGAACGCTGGAAAATCAGAGTACCAGAACAAGCCACAGCTAACCTCACCTGGCCAACTTCTCAGCTGATCTTGTTTCCTCAGACTGGAAGCTTCTGTGTCCTCATCCCAATGGCTCTCAGCTGAACTGCTGCTCGAAAGCCTGAAGCTTAATCAGTTAAAAGCTTAACCAGGCCAAATGTTTAACTAGCCAAATGCTTCTAGTTTCTGGTCCTCACACCTTATATACCTTTCTGCTTTCTACCACAACTCCCTGGGATTAAAGGCATGAGTCACCATGCTTGGCTGTGTCCAATGTGGCCTTGAACTCACAGAGATCCAGAGAGATTTCTACCTCTGGAATGCTAGGATTAAAGACATGAGTGCCACCATTTTCTAGCCTCTGTATCTAGTGGCTGTTCTGTCTCTGACCCCAGATAAATTTATTAGGGTGCACAATATTTTGGGGAACACAATACCACCACATTGGTTCTCTACATTTTAGCCAATTCTTGAAATAGTTGACATCTGACCTTGCCAACTTTAATAAATATACAATCTCTAAATCCCATCCTTTATGTAAAACTTACTGACGTTCAAAACTTGCAAAACCTTTCCAGTCTTCTTTATTCTGTAGTCATCCAGTCATCATCATCTTCATGTATCTAAGTCCTTCTTTGCTAAGGTCATCTCCACATATATTCTTCTAACATGTTCTTTTGTGTTGCTTCCTTTTCTAATACTACGAGACATAGGAACATTAACAAATATGTTTATGGTCTGTTGTGAGAATTTTCTTCCTCATGGAGGGGGAGGAAGCAATGTCCGTCCCATTCCCACAAGTCTCAATGATGATGCAAACTATAATTTCACCAAAGTTTATCCTGGGAAACCAGTGAGTTTATTGAGCTTACTTACTGAGAATGGTTGAGAAGATACTTACAAGGGTTTTGTTACTGTGGTGGTTTGAATCAAAATGGCCCCATAGTCCCATGGGGAGTGGTACTAAAGGAGGTACAGCATTGTTGGAGTATATGTGGCCTTGTTGTAGGAAGTGTGTCACAGTCACTTTCTGCTACCTGCTGATATGAATATAGAACTCTCAGCTCTTTTCCCCACCATGTCTGCCTGCATGCCACCATACTTCCTGCCATGACAATAAACCCTCTGAAACTGTAAGCCAGCCCCAGTGAAATGTTTTTCTTTATAAGTGTTGCTGTAGTCATGGTGTCTCTTCACAGCAATACAAACTCTAACTACGATACCAAAAGCAGCCACACAGGAACGTCTCCACCCAGGATGTACAATGGCTCTCCTGTAGCTGCATATGTGGAGTTCACCTTCTCTCTACTCTTCCACTGCCCATATATTCTCCATTACATTATATTCTTAGTGGACATAGGAAGTAAGCTGTTGTGGGAATTTGATGAATTCAGCCAATGGCATTGGAGTAATGAGTTCTATGAGCATTGTTTTCTGTGCACATGACCACAAAAGAACTGAGGAGAGGGTCACTTGCTCTCTTGAATGGGGAAGGTGTCCTGACTCCACAATTTGGTGACCTGGTATGGAGCTTTCTCCATCCTTCCCTGGCAGATGAAGAGGCATCAGTGCCGCTTCATCCTGTTGTGCCCAAATCGTGACCCCCAGAGAGACCACCAAAGACAAGCATGCCAGAATGCAAAGCAAGGTTTAATTCTGGATATCCAAAAGCAATACAAGCCTAGGTAGGGACTTCGTCCAATACATCCAACGCAGTGGAGGCTGGAGGAAGTGCCCACCTGTCTGCAAGCTCAGTTTTTAAAGGGAAAAGCCACAAGGTTACATCATTTCGGGGTGCTAGTATGGATACAATTTTGATTGGCTCGCTTCTAGGGACTTCTAGAAATTACTTCTAAGGGAGTGGTTGCCCGCCACCATTTCTCATTGGCTGCCCTCAGGTGGGGTCATTTCTGTGGTCAGTTACCCTGGAAACCAGGGAGAGGACATTCCATAGTCTGGCAGGCATTACCTCGTGACTATCTTGTGACTCTGTACTTTTACACTTCCTGGTTTCTGGAATCTGAACTGACTGGTTTCAGTAACTAATGGCCTATTCCCAAAAGGAGATATCTTAGGTCTTAATTTTAGGGTGAAAGCATTTTGGTCTTATTTCTAAGATGGCTCATTTTGGTCTCACAATCCTGTATTCCTTCACTCTGTATTTGAGAGTGTGCTACTCCTAGTTAACCCTCTAATAAATTCTTGAACAGACTTATGTGGGTTCTCACTTCAGTAAGCCTGATAGCACTCAAGGCAAATTACCACTTTTAAAGATGGCTTTCTCATAGTCACATACACAGAATCCACTTCCTCTCAAGTCTTTCCCAGGCTATGTACTCTAGCTCCTCCCCCAAACCACAAGGTCACATGTCATTAGGGCTGCATTGCATACAGTTGCCTGGAAAAAAAGGCTTTATACTCAGAAGGAGGGCATACTGTAGTGGGTAGCCATTCCAGCTTGGATCTGGAAGTTCCAACCCCCATTGAGACTCTGGCAATTGTCACACCTACGAGGCGGGGCCAGGGGAGGTGCCTGGAGACCGGAGAGCGGGATGGGCCACTGAGAGCACACAGAGCCAACGCTGGATCCAAGCTGGAATGGCTACCCACTACAGGATACCTTCTTGTATTATGGAATAGCAACAGTCAGCAAACCTGGTGGTGGCCATCCTTTGTAAGTAGGCACAGCTGATCATAGGAAGGTGTCAATTGTTTGTCCTAAGATAGTGCTGAGAAACAACAATTAAATAAAAGGATGAATAGAAACTGTGAATATGACAATGTAACAAATTAGTATTTCCTAGGTATAATCTGTTAAACTAAACCTTAGGAAAAAATACAAGACAGTCTTCATATAATACATGGCATCACTACTATAACCATGCTTTTGGATTTTAATTCGAGTATGTAGTTGATACAGAGAAACATCAAAAACATAACAAAGCATCATGGAATTGATGTTTACAACATCCAGTATAACACAACTAAGAAATCCCTCTTAAAACTATGAGGTCCCAGCTTACTATAGAGAGATCTTTACACAGAGTGTCTCTCTATCCTCTCCATGGATGAACATTCCATTCACTGTTTTTACCTACAGACATGTGACCAATAACAACATACATAAAAGGTGAATAAACATTTACATCCTAGCATCTTAATATCTAACAGCCCTGGTTAACATTCTACTTATCTTTGGGGGTATTTTAGAGGCAGTCCTCCCTTAGCTAAATTCTACTTTGTGTGAATTACTATCTCCTAAGCATTGGTAAATCCTTCATATCACCAATTGTACTCTTCTATATCGCAGCTTAGTAGTGGAGTGCTACCCAATACATGAGATGCCATTTACAACCTCCACAAATTAAGTTCAAATGGATCTTACATGTAAATGTCAAATGCAAAGTGCAGAACTTCTAGAAGATGCTTGAAACTAGGCCTCTCCAAGTTTGGCAACCTGCCTAGGCTTTGGGAGGTTTCTCTAAGGCCCTGGTGTATAGAGCAAAAGCAGAGCTCCATCACCAATACTGGGAATATGCTTGGGAGAGGTGATAGTGGTCTGGGGCCAGGGTGTAACAGTCTTATTAATAGAAACCTGGAGCCAGATATTGCTGTGAAAGCTGAAAGAACAGAGAAGCAGAACAAGCCAGCCACAAGTTCTTACCTCTATGAAATCCTCAGTCTAAAAAAGTGTTCCTGTTTCCTCAGTCCTTACATACCTGTGTTCTGCCACATTACTTTCTTTGATTAATGGCGTGTGTCTCTACCTCCTGTCTCTGTTTCTCTCATGTAGCCCAGTGTGGCTTTGAAATCACAGATATCCAGATGGTATTAAAGGCATGTGCTACCACTGCCTGACCTCTATGTTTAATATAGTGTCTGACTTTGTCCTCTGATCTTCAGGTAAGTTTATTGGAGTACACAATATATCACACAACAGGGCCTTTGGGCAGGGGTTGCTTCAGAATCTGAGAACACAACCCTTTACACACAAGGGGTTGTGGTTATCAGTCCCAATGCCACTGTGGATTTTATTTATAATGTTCTTGAGTTACCCTGTGTTCCTCTTGTGCAACATTGTCTGATTAGCCTCCTTCTCAATTTGTATACTTCCTTTTAAAACAGAACCCATTGGTTTACATTAACAAGAGACTTGCTATTGAATTTGGCACAAATCTCCAGTCAATCTGGGATAGGTCTGTCCTTAGATTGGCAGTCAGGGTTGGAATCCACTGTATTCTGTCCCTTCAGCTCACTCAGTCTTGTCACTCAGACTTCACTAGCCAATTAGAGCCTCCAGCAGACCCGCCAATCAGATGGGAGTGTTCTTCCGGGAGCCAGGTTTCTGGCTCAGCTCTTTTTCTGAGTAAGTTGGAAGTTGTCCTGTGTGCTGGGAACCACTGTGCTTTGTCCTTTCTGCTCACCTGGTCCTGTCACTCAGACCTCACTAGCCAATCAGAGCCTCCATCAGGCCCATCAGTCAGATGGGAGGGTTCTTCCGGGAGGCAGGCTTAATAGCTCAGCTCTTCTGAGGAAGTCGGAAGTTGTCTCAGATGCTGCTCCTTGGGCTCCATTTTGTCGAGAGCTGGGTCAGCTCAGCAGCCACACCATAGTGAGTGAAGGGTTGCTCTCCACAGATGAAGAGTGGTGGACCAAGATGAATGAGGGGCGGAGGTTCCCAGGCGGGGAAAAGTGGCCGGCCATGGTGAGTGAGGGGCCGCTGTCCCCATGTGGGGAAAGTGGCTGGTCTTGGTAAGTGAGGAGCCCACTGAACCCCAGACTAGGTGAAGAGGCTGGCTGAGGCTCAGGAGTCAGTTTGGTGGGTTCTCTCCTGATTGGGTGGGGGGCAGTAGCCAAACACAGAATTCAGCGTGTTCCTGCCTAGTCCAGCATGGTCCTATGTGGTCCTTGTAACTCCCTAGGCCAGGCTGGCAGCCTCTGAATAACTTCACTCCTGAGCTGTGTCTGCGCAGAGCATTGGGAGCAGAACTGTGCTTAGAAGTATCCTTGTTATTAACATCACTGTGAAATGCTGGCTCCTGTGGTGCTTATATTATCACGCGTGGAGAGAGAGACATCACCAGATTTGCCAAACTTGAAGAGTACTGGTCTCTCCAGTATCTTCCAGAAGTTCCGTACTTTTAGCATTTAACATTTAGGTTTAGGATCTGTCTGGAGCTAGTTTTGTGGAGCTTGTAAATGGAATCTCCTGTGTAGGGTAACATTCCACTGCTAAACTGTGATGTAGAAGGTAGAATTGATGGAAATAGCATTGATGGTATAAGGATTTACCAGTTCTTAGGAGACATTACGTCACACAAAGTAGAGTTTAGGTAAGGGAGGGCTGCTTCCCAGATACCCCAAAGGTAAGTAGTGTGCTAACCATGCCTGTTAGAAGTTAGTATGATAAGATGTAAATGTTTGTTCACCAGGATTAATCAGCCATTAAGCCACATTCCCTTAACAAATGAGACAACCCAGATTTACAAGCAGCCAAAAGTCCGACCTCCCCATCAAAGGCCTCTAAATGCTGCTCGTGAGGCCATTACAGAGTCACGGCCAACATTAAGTCCTGGTGTGCCATAAAGGTATATTAATTCTAGAACAGCTGCATCTCCAGCCTTTTTGAAAAGCAGTTTTGAGTTAAGGTCTCCCATGTTGATTGAGGTGGACATGAACCCTGGCTGTAGTCCCAAAGTTCATTGCTCTTGCTGCCCTTCTGACTAAACACTAAATTCTTGGATTACAGGTCTGTAGCACCACAGAGTTCTAAAATTACCAGTTATAATGGACTGTCCATTGCAGAACAAGGAAAGGATTTGTGTGTGGAGTGTGGCTTTTCCCTTTAGACCAGAAGAGGAGGAACAGTGTACTGTGTGCACTTCAGGGGAAACAGACTAGACAATAGCTAGATCACAGACTGAAGTTTACAGAAGTGAGCTATAGGGATCTCCATCATAAAGAAGGACCTGATGGGACACGGTGAATGACTTTCTGTGTAATTTCCCATCATGCATTAATTCCTTCCATGTTAATGAAGGCAAACAGAATTGGTAGGTGTACAGTTTAGGGAGGATAGCTTGAACTATGAGTATTCAGTTTCCAATTAGCAAACTCTCCTATGCAGATATGTGCAATCCAGGTTGACACGGTTAAGTCAGCTCAGAGGTTTGAGACACAGGCCATTGGCTGTAATTCCATGTGTCAGCTTACAGCACTCAGTGGTTCACATTTTACATGAGGCAAAGTCATACAGTTTCTTATTAATGACATTCTCCTTACCAGGGAAGTGCCTATTCTGCTTCAAAGTCAGTATAGCTAAGTGTTCTTCCAATTATTTTTTATCATCTTAAAAAGTCAGTTATTGGTATCATTTTTTAAATTTTATTTTCTTCAAATGCATTATTGCTATAAGCTCTTTGTTTCTATTTTCCAATGTTTCCTGGTTTAAGAATTTCATTCTATTTTTTTTTTCTTAAGTGCTATTTATTAATAGTGGTTCTCAACCTGGGGGATCATGGCTCCCTTTTGGGGATCAAATGACCCTATCACAGGACTGGCATAAGACCATCAGAAAACACAGATATTTATATTACAATTCATAGCAACAAAATTATAGTTATGAAGTAGCAGTAAAAATAATTTTATTGTAGGGGGTGGGGTTTACCACATCATGAGGAACTGTATTTTTTTTTTTTTTTTTTTTTAAAGATTTATTTATTTACTATATATACAGAAGAGGGCGCCAGATCTCATTACAGATGGTTGTGAGCCACCATGTGGTTGCTGGGAATTGAACTCAGGACCTCTGGAAGAGCAGTCAGTGCTCTTAACCTCTGAGCTATCTCTCCAGCCCCGAGGAACTGTATTAAAGGGTTACAGCATTAGGAAAGTTGAGAACCACTGGTTTTGATCAATGTCTCCTGTAGCTCATACATGCCTCACACTATGTAATCGAGGTGCTTTGGACGCCTAATCCTGCCTCTGCTGTCCAGTGCTGGAAAGACAGTCCTGCAAATCCTTCCATGCTGAGTCTTGACTGATCTGTGGGAAGGAAAAATAGACCAGTGAATGATTATCCTCCAAGTTCTCTAGATTTTATTGTGAATTTACAAATGAAATGATGCCAAAGGCCGTGGGAGTATACAGCAGGTGACAACTAGTGTTTGATAAGTCGACCCACCAGACGCATCAATCCCTGTTGAGAAGGCCCCACTTGGCAAAGCTGTGGGGTTATTGACTGTAAATGACTGGTTGTTTTCTGTCCGTAACTTTCTAGGGTGCCACTGCTATGCCTCCCTAATAAGAACAGCTGTGGGGTTCTTTCCACAGCGCTTCAATGGTGTGTTTTATACTTATCTGGCACACATAGAGCTGTGGATGTTCAGGAGGATGATTTCTTTTTAACTATATATTTTTATAGAAATAATGCTGGACTATTTTACATTACTCAGACTGAAATAGGATTCTCAGTCACAAAGACAGCCTTTTTCACAGACAGCTAACTTTAGACTTCAGAGCAGATTCAAAGCAGGCTGGTTATCCCTAGAGACAAATACACGAGGTCATTTTTCCAGGTGTTGTTTTACTTATTCAAGCAACTTTAGACATAACTTTCTTAGTAATTGACTTTTTGCATGTAGTCCCATCCTCAATTGATGCTACAGGCTTAAGGTTCAGCCAACTGTTTACTTACTGTCTGGGAACCCTCACCAACTTAGAGCTATGTGCATGGGTCAATGTGACATTACTAGCCTAAAAAGAATTATGTGACTTATCTTGTGTTCTGAGAATAGGTAGGTCCCTGAAAATGTAACTTATAATTGTCCAGATTTTGGCTGTGAGAGGCAGGAGCCATATAGAGAGAGGGGCTGAGGAGGAACAGCAAAAGAGAGCAGGGCAGCATCAGTGTAGAGAGAGAGTGTGGAGGAAAGGTGGAGAGAGAGAGATGTGGAGGCAGTGAAAGTGAGTTAGAGAATCTGCTGAGTAGAGAATGAAGAAGAGATGAAGAGCTAATTAGGAAGCTGTAAAGAGAAAATTTTCAGAGATAATTTTTCAAGATGAAGTAAAGAGAAAGTTACCATCAGAAAGCTTCTGTGTTTCTTTATTTTTCCCCTCAGAAAAGGTAAGAATTTTTCCTAAACCCTTGCTACTCTGAGGTCTTCTTTTTGCTACCCTGAAGCAGTTTGGGAACTGATCTCTCAGTCTGTGATAAAATGGGACCTGTGTAAGAACTGAGTGCACTGACCAACTGTAGAGCAGGTGTAGTCACAGCACAGAAAGGGATGAGCAAGAAAAAGGGCGAAAGCTTTCCTGCTGTGACAGTAGTTGACATTAGCAATGAGTAGTGAGGTAATTGATCTTAGATGATCAATAAGTGTTCTGACTGGCCATTTCTTGGGTCCACAGACCAGGCAATCAAGATAAAGAACTGAACTTATCATGAAACCAAATTACTGTAGTTACATTGGTTCAACCTTAAGTAGAAGAACTGGATAAAATGGTGTGGCCCTGCCTAATATGACTCTGTTTTCCAGTTTTAAGATGATAACCCCAAGAGAAATGGCTTGAGTAGTACTTGGTGTGTTGTAATAAAAATCCCTTGTATCTGGAGTACATGGCCATAAAGCCTGTTTAAACTTTTTAACAGAATTATTTGGGATTATATTTACATATTTACTATCTTTTTCCTGCCTTCAAGCCCTCTCATAGACCCTTCCTTGTGTTCTAGTCCATGGCCTCTTTTTGTTTAACAACAGTTACAGTTTGACTGTGACCTGTGTTTGGTTGCAGGTCCTCCTAGCTATGAAGCAAAGGGTTGGCTGCACTGGACATTGAGTGTGTTATGGAATGTACACACATAGGACCCTGTGCCTTAGAAGAGGAACAGGAAGTGCTCTAGGAGATTGGAGGATTTTACTAAACTACAAGTTTCTCAGATTAGGGCCCCGTCTGACTGTAGTGTGGGAGGGCAAAGCTAGGAGGGCCTGTGCTGTCTGAGTCATTTCTGGTCTGGGTGGTCCTAGCTAATGAGGGACTTTGGGAAGACTTAGCCATCAGGAGCATCAATGGGAGGTATCTTACAGGTTCTTTCCAGGATTCTCCACTTGTTCTGCTGTAGGGGGCTGTAAGGAAGACCATAAGCCAGGCTGTGGTGAGTGTGGGGGCTACTGTCCCCAGACCGGGAAGAGAAGGTTGGCTGAGCTATCAGAATCTGAACTGCTTGAACTGGGATGGATTGTAAGGCCTGATTTCTAGAAGTTCTGAATGTTACATTCTACTTTTAAGTTTATCTTACAAATGTTACAGATAGTTTAAAAACTGAAAGAAAGGAGATGATGGGCATCATCCTTCGACAATACATGATTAGATTATTTTCAGCTTTCTGCTACTGTCAGCCTCCATGGTGTGATTCAGTGAAGCTGAGTTCCAGAGCACAAAAGGAGTTTCTGAGCTGTAGAGGTATCACAGGTTTGCATGGTGTTGGGCAGGTGAATAGGGCAGATACCTCATCTTGTGACATAATCCATGTGGCAAAAAGCAGACATTAAATTGTTCTTCAGCATTGTTTTGTGATTGGGCTTCACTGGGGCTGGGTTTGCCTGAAACCACAAGGGGGCATGAGGGGCTGTAAGGCCATAGTAGACTCTGGAGGAGATCACTTCCATTTGCAGTGAGGGCTCTAGAGCATGGGGCCTTTCTGGA